GTTGCGCACTCTGGTGGTCATTTTTAAAACTTGAAAATATTTTCCAGCGACTCTTCTTGACCGATAATTTTTTTTACCCCTAAGTCATATGACGAACGGTTCTCGAGATATGGCCGAGAAACAGTCTTATTGGGTCACCCGGTACAATTAGAAGTTTCTCAGACAGCTTGGGATGCGTGCTGCTATTGTCTAAAGAAATTCTTCGAAATAAAGAAAGAGGAAATCTCGCAACGAGACAGTAGTTACCATCCGAACGTGTCGCGTATGCAAATTGCAATTATTATCGTATGCGTGTATGTTAATCCCGTATCCTGTCTCGCATGTAATAAATCCCTCCCATACAAATTCGTCAAGTAGGCCATTACCAGTGGGTCAAGTACGTTCCCAATACGATTACGAAACGCGACGAATATTATCGCAAAAATGGAAAGTGTTCTCGATACGCGCCGTAATAATAGAATCCGCGACCTGGGAGAAAGTTGTTTACTGTTTATATTTATAGCCAATTTCTTCGAGCGCAATTTCGTACAATAAAGAACCTTGGATGGCCTGCCTGCCTCCTTGGTTATGGCGTATCGTAATGGTAATGTTACGACCTAGTTTGCGCCCGACGTGGAAAAAAAAACGGGACTCATTTTAGATATAAGAGCGCTTTGGGGCAGTTGTTCAACGGTGCATACAATACAACAAATTGTTGGAAATTAGATATTGCTAAAGGTTCAATTGCATTTTGCACGTTTTTATGAATATGACATAAATATGATTTGTACAGGTTTTTAGCTCGCCCAATTGCTTAACAAATAAATGTTGAAGGTGACAATTTACATACTTCAACATTCCGATGGACCATTTTTATTACACTTAACGTATTAGTCGCTCACGACTCTACCTTTCAAAGTTAGATCTCGAGTGTTCTCAGAAATCTGTCACCAGGTATCATTTTTGGAAAATTACTTAATAAACTGGGATCCTGCTTCGCCATTGTATCAGGAAAATGGCAAATTCCGTTTGAAAAATCACCTTACTATCGAGGGGGCGATCGGAGGGAAATACGCCCTAGTATAGCTACGTAGGTATACTTCATTCAGAGCATACAAATGATGTCATAATGAATGTAGAAAAAGTCAACTCTATCCCCTAGCACCAGGGCCGCCATTTCAGCCCCCCCCCCCCTAAAGTATTCGAAAAAATAATCAAAATACTCACGTACTACAAGATATTTCGAAAACTATCAAGGTATAGGACATTATTATAAAAAGTTGAAGGTTTTTGGAGGAGCTAAAAGATGACAGAAAAATATATAGGGTGTTCCATTTAATAAAAGTGAGATTTTTTAATATGAAGTTTTGCAACTTTGGACCTACCAAAAAAATAACACCCTGTAAGCTATATTTTTAATGTTTCATAGTAGATGTATTTATTTGACTTTTACTTAACCCAGGATAAAAAATATAAAACCTGGAATCAAAATTTAAGTAATAATTTTGACAATATACTGACGCAATTTTTCTTACAAATCGAATTATCTTTAAAACTACTAGTTTTTCGGATATTAACCATATAATAAAAAAGACGTACAAGTTACATGTAGAATTCAAAAATGCATTCAAATACAGGGGGTTCTATTTAAAAAATTGTACCATTTTGGCACCCTACTTTGTAAGCGCACCCTGTATAATTCTAAATATTTTTAAAATGTGGAGAATATTCAACCATATCATAATACAAAAGCACTCTATCGAAAAATCTTATCTTCAAGGCATTAAGTTAATCCGCGCAATCGTTGACTCACCCTGTACAAAACCAACGGCCGCCACTTACTCCTGAGCGCCCCTACCGCCCCCTTTGGGAACCTATGGTATAACGCACATCTATGTAAATGTACCTAGGTAGTACTGGTACATAGTACCGTGTGTTCTCTTTTGGTTGAGACTGCAGTGTATCTCATTTGTTTTTAATGATAAAGACTTGCGGTTTTCGCGACCCTGTGCCACTTGGAATGTTATCATATCTTACTACCCATGTAAGATAGAAAGAAAAAAAACTGTTTAATTTAAATATTTTTATGTAGAATCCAGTGGCGGAGTAGTGGGCCACTGTTTCTGAGATTTTACCTAATACTGGTATTTTTAAATGCAACACCCTATACAGGGTGTCTTAAATTGAGTAAGATAGCATGGCGAGCTTTGTTATTTTTATACTTACAGATTCGGTTAAATTGGTTTTGTAGTTTTTGATGCTAATGGATATTCCGATGCGACATTTTGAAAAAATAAATCGTTTCGTAGATAATTCAAAAAAGTGAAAATCGCCATTTTTAAAAAGTTCAAATATTTTAGTAACAAAGAGAGCTATCGAAAAAAGTTTCAAATAAAAGTTGCAAGATTGAATGGGATAAATTCAATGAACGTAAAACAAACATTTTTTAAATGGCGGTTTCCGAGAATGACATCGACTTTCTTATTTTAAATGGACGCCATATTGGATTTTTCCGTCACTCGATAGAGAAAAAAATTACAAAACCAGTGATACTAAACACTTAGTATTTCATTTGGGAATCAACCTTACAATTTTGCCTCGAAGTTTACAATGTATTTCTTATGGCAATAATTCCAATTTAACCGAATCTGTAAGTATAAAAAAAACAAAGATAGCCATGCTATCCTACTCAATTTAAGACACCCTGTATATTTTGACGTCAATTTTTTGCCATTGTTTTCCCGATTACAGTGATGTCTCACAATCCATATTTTTTGTATACATATACATAAATTAAGTATATTTTATATCATATTTTTCAAAATTTTGAAATGGCATGTTTCTATCACCAGCCATTTCTGTTGATTGGGTATCGGTTGCTATGGATACAATAAATAAAACAAAATCTCCATAAATCCATGGCCTACTATTTAAAAACCTTAAAAAATAAGGTTTTTATTTTTGTTTTATGGCTAAAATTTAACAAAATAGAGGTTGTGATACAGCAATGTAATCAGCAAAAATAATGCAAAATGTTTAAAAGATGTTGTATTTAAAAAATACCAACTTTGGCTCAAATCTCAGAAACGGTGGGCAACATTTTAATGTCACTGGATTCTACGTAAAAATGTTTAAAATAAACTGTTTTTACCTTTTTTCTATCTTACATGGGTAGTAAAATAATATGATATCCCACAAAGTCAAACTTTCCGTTTTCACCCTGTATCTCAGAAACAAACGTAGCTAGATTGACCGCCAATGTGTATCATTAAAAACAGCTGAGATACACTGGAGGCTCAACCAAAAGAAGACACACGCTACATACACTAGTAGTCAAACTTTCACGTAATCGCATCGCTTGACCCCCCCCCCCCTCGTTAAGGTTAAATGGCGCCCTGCCTAGCACAAAAGAATTCGATTACTCCTTCCCGAAAGCTACCACGTCATTTCCTGATTACTGGAGTACTTAGGGTTCTTACGATAATTTTTTATTCAATACCCCCCCCCCCAAGCCTAAGAACGTTTATGGAATATCTTCCAGGAAAGGAACATTTGACGGAACACCCCAGAAAATAATCACATGCGGAGAACGTAGCACCAGGGGGGAGGGCTGCACAAGAAAAATCGAGAGCTAGAGTCATCAAATCTTCATTTCCTGAAGAGTATTCGGCATTCCCATGATAATTTTTCGGAAATCGACCACCGGGAGGTCTGAGGGTATGGAATATCCCCCAGGGGAAAGACGTATTTGTTCACCCTTTTCAGAACACTATCATGGTAGGTTTTGGGAAAAGGTGATATCTGTGCTGGGGGGTATTCCATACACCCCCGGTGCTATGTTTGACTCCAAAATGTTGAAAGTATTCAGGATTCTCATGATAGTATATCGGAAAACGGCCATCGGGGGTTCGGGGGCTATGGAATAGCCCTCGGAAACACGTATTTGCTCATCCTTCCCAGAACACCAGCATGATAGCTTTTGGGAAAAAGTGATATCTTTGGCGGAAGGTATTCCGTACCCCCAGAGCTACGATTTCAAAGTATTCAGGATTCTCACCGTATTTTTTCGGCAACCGGGCTGTGCTGGGGAGGGGGGGTTATTTAGACCCCCGGTGCTACGTTTTCCTCCATAATGTTCAAAGTATTCAGGACTCTCATAAAATTTTTTTTGGAAAACGGCCACCGGTGTGTGTGTGTGGGGGGGGGGGGGGGGGGTAATTTGCTCACCCTATCCAGAACACCATCATGGGACGTTTTGGGAAAAGGTGCTGAGGGATGCCCCCCTCCCCTTCCTTATTTAGGATTCTCATGATAGTTTTTCGGAAAATGGCATGGGGGAGGTATATCCCGAGAGCTACGATTTTTGCCAAAATCTAAGAGCTCGCGTGTATGGAATATCTTCCAGGAAAGGAAATTTGACAATCATGCTGATTGCTGTAAATATTTTAGGGAAACATAGTACGGAGGGGTCTAGAGAGAATTAGAATCCCCCCCCCCCCCGCGCGCAGGTATAAGAGAAATCGAGTGCCGATTGCCAAAAGCTAGCATGGCACTTTCTTCTGGAAAGGGGCATCAAATCTTCATTTCCTGAGGAGGGGGGGGGGTCCCTCCGGTGCTACGGTTTCCCCCAAAATACTCAAAGTCCTCAACATCCTCATGATGGTTTCTCAAAAAAATGTTACCGTCTTCCTTTCCAGGAGCGCATTCGTGACTGGACCTGATGCTTGCATGGCATCGTTTTCATGTGGTTTGCGTCTCGGCTAAGCAAGACTCAGTACCCATTCATGGTCTCGATTCGGGTTGCTCTGCGCTAAATCTCATTTTCGAGTGCCTCGACTATCGGTTTCTTTGTCGTTCTTTTCCACTAACCGGCGCAGTATTCTAAACCATTACTAATTCAACGCACAAAAACCCGCGAGCGACGCAGTAATGTCTCTCCTGTAAGGATTTCAAAATAATGAAAGGTAAAAATGATTCTTAATTCGGTAATGGTAACGTTAAGTAATCGAGATGTTCAGCTTCAATTAACAATGAGGTCAAAGATATAACGTTCTACGTTCGGTACGCGGCCGCCGCCCGAATTTTTTTTTCCCCACAAAACTGCGGAGGAAGAGACAGAAAACGGTACCCACCTTGAGATCCTTGAAGAAAATTGAGTTCCTCGCCCAATCGACTTGTGAGAAGAGGTTTTGGTCTAATACTTTACACATTAGTTCAAATAGGTCCACTTCACATTGATTATACGTTTGGTTCTGTAGAAGACTATATAAAGAGTTCTGCCACTCGCGGTCGTCGATACCTTGTATGAAGTCTCTAATAAGGGGCGATATTTTACTGGAAGGGGGTGCACTTCCGCCTGGTAACACTGTTTCGAATTGGAACGTTTTTGGGCTAAGGGAGTGTGGTGACGTCGTCGTCGAGTTCGCGGTGCTCCACAGCTTGTTCTCGTTGCCGCCCATCGCCATGGAGGACTGCGTCCCCGGGACGCCGACGATCTGGAGCGCCGGTTGCTGACTGGAAGCTGGCTGCATTAACGTCGACGCGCTGACCTGTCCAAGAGCGACCGCTATCGGACTCGGCGACGAGTCGGGCGACGACGTCAGAGAAGATACTTGCGGTATTTGAATTTCCTGCTTTATGTGGATGTTGGCGAAGGGCGATGTACCCGGCTGGTTATTGTAGACGCCGCCCTCGCCCAACTGCCCACGTTGAGCGAGGGTCTGCACAGCGAGCTGTCGTTGCCGCATCATCTGTAACTTTCTTGCGCGATCCCTCTTGTACATCGGTCCGAATTTATTCCTACCGCCACGCATTCGGTCCGCTCGAACCGCTGCAAAAAAGACACAACATTAATTAACTACACCTCAATATACGGGGATGGTTATACAATGTTGTCCCCATTTAGGGGTTAGTTAATAGGTCGCCGAATTTTTCATGGGAATTGTTGGTTCAGCATTCTATGGTGAATAAATTGCAAGATTTTATGGTAGGAAGTGAATCTTATGACCCCCCCCCCCACCCGGGTTCTACATTTTTTAAAAGGTACTATCAAACACCCGAACCTGGGGTGTAGGGAATGCTCATCAGAAAACAAGATTTAGTGCTCCTTTTTGGAAGACTACAAGAGTTTTTAGGGGTGATCATTTTGATGGAGACTGTAGCACCGAGGAGTCAAATCCCCCCCCCCCATTCCCAAAATAAAGGAAAATTCAATGACAGAATGTTCCTTTATGGGAGATGCGACTGGAAGGTATTCCATACCCCCCCCCCCCAGCACCACGGTGCTACTTTCGTTGGCGTCTTACGAAACAACGGTAATGAGAATATCGGGGTAGACTGTTTTTGAGGAGGATTGTAACATAGGGTAGCGGGATTTCAATGATCTCCCCCCCCCCCCCCATAGAGGAAAATTCAATTACGTTTTCTCTACGGAATCTTCCTTTATTGGAGATATGATGATCCATATAACCCAGCCCCCCCCCCCCACCGCCGCTAGTTCGATGGTGTCTTTCTAAAAACTGTAATGCGAGTAGTGAGGTAGACGGTTTTTGGGCGCAATGCAACACGGTGGGGGGGGGGGGGTTATGAACCTGGCGGAACATAATTATCATAATTTAAAAAAAAAGGAACATTTAATTCGGGAATAGGCCACTTCATTAGCACCTAATTATACAATATGTTTCATTGTGTTCTGCTGACCTTGATCTGCTAGGGTCATGGTCATTTTTGAGAGCTGACTTCATATTCAAAACGGTTTCTAGACACCAAAGACAGTCCTTTCTTCTAATATCCGGAGTATGAAACATTGAAAAATAATTAATTAAGGAACGATCTTACCATCACATTTATTGGGGACAGTGGGGGGGGAGGGGTCAATTTTCCCTGTTAGCAGCATTTTAGATCTCTGACTAAAGGTAAGTGCTCATAAAAAGTTAAATTTATGTCTAATTAGGAGCTAGGTTAAATAATGTAATTACGTTCGCGAGAAATTTTAGAGTAGTCGATTTTTGGTAAAAAAAAAAGGAAGGTTATACACTTGGTTTTTTTCAGACCAGAAAAAAAATTGTCTGAGATCGACCGGGAAAAAACATTTTCTTATAGAATTTGGCCCGTTGTCGAAATTGTTTTTTTGTCACGTGAAAAAAAAGTAGAAAGAAACTGAAGAATCAGAAGAAAATCAGAGGATCGCAAAGTCCGACTAATCTGCAGAATCCGAAGTATCGCACTGATTCAAAGAAACTGAAGAACTTTATGGATCCGATGAAGAATCGGAAAAATCTAAAGAAATGTAAGAATGTGTATGTAATAAATCATATGAGGTCTTATGAGGAATTTAAAGAACTAAAAATTGGACGAATGTGAGAAGTGGAAATTATTAAAGAAATCGCGAAGAACGAAAAGAATCCAAAAAAAGTTGGAAAAAATGAAGAATTAGAAGAAAGAGCAGAAAAGTCCGAGTAATCTGAAGGAAATCCTAAGAATCTGAAAATCAAGAAACGGTACCAACAGCAGAATAATAAGAATGTGATGAATTTTATGGATCTGATGAAGAATCGGAAAAATTGGAAGAATCCGAAGAACTTGAAAAGAATCTTAAGACTCTGCGGGCGATTAAACTGATCTGATGAATTTGAAGAAATAAAAATCATGCGAATCTGAGACGCGGAAAAATTAAAGAGACAGTGAAGAATGGAAAAGAAAAATTTTGACTCAAAAAGTAAAAAAATACTGAAGAAACAAGAGAAAGTGAAAGAGCAGAATAATCTCAATAAACGAGGGATCGAAGCATCTGACGAATTTGAAAAAACCAAAAAAATAAAAATTTTAAAAATTTGAAAACCGAAGTAGGCATTCAACAGAAATCGAAAGAAGAATGTGGATACCTAATTTCAAAATTTGACGAATTTGAAGAATCTAAAAGGGTGAAGAACTCGAAAAATCTGCAATATAGTTTGGTTTCTGAAGAAAGTGAAGAATCAGAGAAGTCTGAATGGCCATAGAATCGGAAGAACTTTTCTGGAAGAATCGTCCGAAAAATCTTAAGAAACTGGAAGATGTGATGAAACTGAAAAAAAAAAAAAAAATCTAAACAATTCGACAACCGGAAAAAATAAACGAAACAGAAGAACGGACAAGACAAAAAAAATGAAGAATCGGGCGAATCCGAAAAACAGAAAAGAAATAAGTCGGAAGAAAATGAAGAATCAGAAGAAAGTCAAAACAAGAAACTGAAGAATTTTATGGATCTGATGAAGAAAATGATCAATTATGGAGGGATCTGTATATGCGAAGCAGAAGAAAAACCACCCTTTTTTGTAGGAAAAAAGCGAGCGAGCAAATTAAAGCCCAATTACCACTCCATCTGCGCCTCTTTTTCCGATCCGCCGAGCAATTTTTCCTTTCATCATCCCATTTAAGAAAGTGTGAAAATAATGGCTTCGCGTATCGATTGACGTCCGCGCGTCGCGCCGTCTTCTGTTTCTGATTTTTAATTACGCGCGCTTCCTGCGTCGCGACGCGATCTGGGGCAAGGTCGCGATTAATTACGCGAAAAAAAAAGAGAGGAGGTTGGGGCGGTATTTCATTACAACAAGCCGAAGTGACCTTGGGATGCACGCGAAATAAATGGACGCATTCGACGGCGGCGTGTGCGGTGAAGGAACGCCGCCGCTTACCGTATAATTACGTAAATATTCATCCCGGCAACGTCGATTCCCCATTCTTTTGATGTATCAATAAAAAATAAGCCGCAGTCTATGTGCGCTAATTATAGATTAGTAGACATTTCAAGGCCTTTCATTTACAAATAAGTACTTACATCCACTTTTTGTTTTGCGTAAATATAACCGTAAACGCCTCGCGCCGTATTAATTCGTTTATAATGAACAAAAGTGAAATCGATTTTAATGTTGAAACGTTTTAATGTTTTGTCTATTTGAACTTTCAGTTATTCTTACCTAACATTTTTATCCAAAAATTTTTTTTTGCCGAAACCAGGTCACCCATAAGCGCCATCTACAATTTGAGGTTATAAAATTGAAATCCCCGACGTTCGGTTACCGGTTTCTCGTTGCGTGAACGTATTATAATTAATTTAAATTTATGACAATGAGAGGCAAAAATGCGTATAATGTCGTACGGAATTCAACCTGTTCCATCCGAGTTTTGGGTTAGAATCAACCTGACCTCTCACATTTAAATTTCCATTTCTCATGATCGTTTTTTGTGCCGCAAAGAAAAATTGTGCCGTAGATACCCCCGAAATATATTCTACTTTTTTGCTAGTTTGTGCAGTCAAAAAGAATTACCAGTTCATTAGTACTTACTTTTGTGCCGTTCAACATTTTTGTGCCGTCAGAATTTACACCAACCTCTACTTTACAGGGTGTCTTCGACGTTTAAGGTTTTGTGCCTTTACCAAAAACTTGTGTGTCGTTCAAATAGAGACATCCTGGAATATTACTTTTCAAAACAGATTTGTGTCTGCTTTGTGCCGCTGCAAAGTGTTGTGATAATTATGTGCCGTCACAGGGAGGGAGGGAGGGAAGACAGGAAGAAGGCCCTTTGATATTTTCTGATGACACGCTTCCAGAAGGATTGAATACTTAAACAATCAATCCAAAGCAGTAAATTTTAAACGCCCCCCTCCCCTTCACTTGGATACCGCCTTGTATTAGATCCCTATAACGGGCGATCATAAATAAGTTGCTCTCAAGTCGACTTTGGAAATTCAAGTTAAGTACGATTTCCCATGCAAAGGTGACTCGATAGTAACTCATTTTTGATCGCATAGTAGTACAAATAGCGATCTTTGCTGGCCTCCCTGTAGATTAGTTTCTGATGTGGCAGCGTATCGGCCGAATTACCTCACGGAATTGGATCGAAGGGAAAATGACTGTGGAATTTTGGTGTACACATTTTGTAGAATTTTTTTAAAATCCTTTAGAATTTTTTTCGAAATTTTCAGAATTTTAGTTTACACAAAATTTGAAAGAGAAAATCGGCGTAGAATTTTGGTGTACACAGCGTTTTGTAGAATTAATGATCTAGAATTTTTGTTAAAATTTTAGAATTTCTTTTAGAATTATAGTCTAGAATTTTTTTAATTTTTAAATACTTTGAAATTTTTAAAAAATTTTCTTCAATTTCTTCCAAACGCACATGCACACCGAATTATTTTATACAATTTTTAAATTTTCTAGAATTTTTTTTAAATTTTAGAATTGTAGTGTAGAATTTTTTTTAATTTTCAAATACTTTCAAATTTTTTGAAAATTTTCTTAAATTTTTTCCAAACGCACATGCACACACATTTATTTCATACAATTTTTAAATTTTCTAGGATTTTTGAATTTTTTTGGAACTTTTCTTGAATTTATTTCCTCAGATGCAGTTTTTGAAAGTAAAATTGGTTTCAGATTTTACATACGCATGCCAGTGGTGCCAAGTAAAATTTTTAAACATGAAAGGGGGAGGACGTGGGATGAACACACGCCCTGTCTTTCATGGTATTCTAGGAAAGGTCTCATCGAAATGAATTTGTTCCTCCAAACTATTACTTTTGCGCGTAACTCCTTTTCGAGATTAATGGATGAGCGAGTGGGGGAGGGGGGGAGGAGGGAAGAGGAGCGGTTGGTTTCATCCTTCATGAAAGTTCTCATCGAAAAGCATTAATTTCTGCCAATCATAGTCCTACTCCTCGATCGTGATCGGATATAATTCTTTATATTCCAAGAACATCTTGAAGAAATATATCCATTGGAAATCTCAAAACTTTAAAAGCGAATATTTAGAGGAGGAAAGTACTTTCACAATGCACATGTACACAAT